TTATAAATAAAAGTATTGTCATTAATGTGCGAATCTTTTGAAGTTATAAGTATCAAGGTAGCAATACTAGAAGTTGAAAATCACTTCTTAATTGATTATAATAACTACGTGATTATGCAAAACACTCAAAAGCAAATGAAAATTTTGAAAATGAAAATTGAACAACTGAAAATTTTTTACTAAGAATATTCCTTGAGTTCGTTTTACTCATGCCTAAATTTTTTTTCCCTGACTTTTTCATGGTCACAAGTTTATTTGGTTTCGTTTGTCAAAAAATTTCCTTTTCTGACAAACGAAAATAAATAGCGTAATGCCTTTTGAACTTGTGACCAACATTTGAGCTTATGAATACGATTTTTAACTAAAAAGATAACAGTGCATCTAATTCCAACATTATAGACTTCATATAATAGGTCATTAAATACAAAATTTATTAATACCAGTGTCGTTTTCATGCTTTTTGATTGAATTCAACAACTACTCAAACAAGTATAATAAACGACTAAATCATTAAGTTTTCTCTAAGATAACGAAACTTTTAAAATAAATAAATTTTGTCAAGCTTAACAAATTTTAAAATAAATAAATTTTGTCAAGCTTAACAAATTTTAAAATAAATAAATTTTGTCAAGCTTTACAAATTTTGAAGGTTTATCTTTTTATACTGATTTTACAAAGAATTCTTTCGTTGTTGTTTTTTTTTTTCTGGCAGAGGAATCAACACGTAAATTTTGGGAATTAATTCAAATACACTAGGTGGATCTTGACACTATTCTCGTCCTTTTACTTTATTAACTTGGAAGTTTGATGAAAAAGGTTTTGCATAAACTACTTGCAAAAACTACTTGATGTTTTTTTAGTATATTTTCTTTTGATTGCTTCAATCCACCTCTGACACTCTTGCGGATTTGATAGTAATCTAAAAGAAGTTGACTTTTACTGAGTAATAGTTACAATAACAACTAGGCATTTCATTGATAATTATGAAGATGGGTAAAACAATTTTGTTGGTAACAAATAAAAATTAATAATTAAGTTCATTGATAAGCCCCAGCTAAAAATTTCAATAGTACGTATAAGGATTTTGAAACAAAAAAAAATGACAAAATTTTTGATAACAATAAACACTTTTTAACTTATGTGTTTTAATTTAATGGGGTTCAAATCTGAAATTTAATTTTTTCTAATTTCTTATAGGATTCTATAGGACTTTTTGACAAGGGACGACCCAACACATTGTTAGTAATATTTACTGCAACTAAATCAGCCTCAATATTTTTTGAGCAGTTGCGCAATAAGTAGGCCTATTTGTTTTAGTGCGCCCTGAGTTTAATGCATGGCATTCTTAAAGTAACAGGTGGTGAAACGCAAAATTTCATAAAAAATGTGGGAGCCAATATAAACTTCTCGGCATTTCCATTTCTGTGCGTGATATTTTTGTTTTTTGTTTTTACAATTAGTTTTAGTGTTTTTACAATTGGCTTTTACAAGGCCAGGACTTACAGCAATATAAATAATATTATGATTTTCCTAAACAACAACTATAAAAATTTTTTTTTTCAAATTTTAAGGTACCTGAGTGTTTAAATATATATTTATTTTTATCGTTTTTTTTTGTTGTTGTTTATTTTTTAGTCTGTGTGTTATTGTCGCAATAGTTTGAAAAATATACAATAATTTTATAAACGCTATATTTCTAGAAATATTTGATGACTGCTATTTCTCATATAAAATATATAATAAGAGTTAAATAGATATAATATTTCCCTTGAAATAAGTACATGCAATTTATTTTCATAAAAATAATTACATAAAATTGACAAATTTGCAATTTCCGTGCGTGACTTCTGTGCGTGACCACACATGAGCTGCATTTAAATGATTGCTGTGACTGTACGATACATAGCATAATCCCGTAACTTTCTGGAAATCTTTATTAATATTTAAAATATTTTTATTATTAATAGGGGGGAGAGGGGTCTGAATTTTTTTGACAATTGTTGATAAGGGGGGAGGTCAAAAAAGTTGACGTCAACGCTTTATTTTTTTTTGAACATAATACTTTTTTTTATAACTTTAACTAGTTAAAAAAAGGAAAATATTGCAACGTTTGCAGTCCTGTTTTACATAGTCACTGAACCTTCAGTATTTTAATTCCTATCCTATAATTTATATTCCTACTTTTTAAAAACCGTTTTGTGGTTTAAAAAGACCCGACATACAGAACTAAATAACTACACACAAAATGTTTACTCGTAACGCTACTATTTTTTCAATGTTATTGTTGTCTCAGTCTGCTGTGCAAACAAAAAAGATTAATGTAAGTACATTGTCTACATTAAATTGTTTAAACTTTTATACAAAGGGTGCAACCAAGCCTATTGTGATTCTTTCGATGTCAAGATGAAGCTCTTTAGCTGCATCTTGACATGGAAATATTATTATCTTGACATGCACAAATAATAGTATAATCGGGGATGCGAAGTCCCAAAAAGACTCCGGTTTTATATCTCTATTTTTTACTGGTCTCTGGTGTCCAAAAGCTCTGAACTTGTTAGTTAATTTTTAATCTGCTAAATTAAAAAAACTCATAAAATTTAATGACTTGAAACATATTTTTTTTAATCCCGAAGTCCCAGAGTCCTAGCCGCCATTATACCTAAGGACTCCGGGGTAGGGTGCAGCACCACAGTAGGGCAAAAATGAACTTCATATTTACGAGCTGTCTGTGTTTCCAAAGTGTTATGCTATGAATACTGATAACTTGAGTGAAATATTTTTAAAATCAGAGCTGATTTAGAGGTCCCCCATGAACCCATTGTGTAGTAAACCAGGTTGTTTGAATGTTACTAAGTGCTTCTCTGATGACAGGTACAGCAGGGTTAGCTCTGTGAATTCCTTATAGTCATCTTGTAGAAACTCAACCTTTTCCGCAGCAATAGCAGTGGACTCTTCCTTCATTATTGAAAGCAACTCTTGCGCTTGAAGGCTATGACGAGCTGGACTAAACAGGAGTATGTTAGAGTAGTCATGGGTATAAAATCCCAGTTACTTCTCAGCCGTGTGAATAATGTAACATCTGGTGACTTTGACACTTCTATCTTCATATCAGTAAACACATGTGATAAAAGAACCTCTCTAATGTGATGGTAACAGTGATCCGTTTTTGAACTGGTGGTGTCAAATGCCATATTGACGATACAATTATCACAATGCCACTCAGGCATCAGCTTCATTGTCAACTCGGCAATGATTTCTTCACATGACTTGTCTGAAGGTTTGTAATAACCTGGCACTCCCTAAAGCTTTAGCTTTGAGGTGTCACCGACAACCACGGTCGTGCGTTCTTGAGGAACTTTATGGTTTTTACCGCCAGGCTCGACGATGAGTGTGGATGCGGTCTGCTGGGTTGGGGTCTGGTAGCAAGTGCCCCCAAATTTGGTTGGCTTAGCAAATTTGGAGGTATGAAAGTAACTGTTCCATTTGGTTTCTTTCGCTGAACTACTTGATTCACGTCTTCTGCTTTAATATAGCCATTATCTTCTGAAGAAGAAAAAGACTCTGATTCTTTTTTGCTAGTGATTTGTTGAATGTGCCAAAGCTAGCAGCTCTTTCCCAGTTCATTGACTGCAAAAATGCCAGATCATCTGCATTTGTTATTACATTTCCACGTTTGTCGACCACAGTTGTAATGTTGATGGCAACACGCTTCGCAAACTTGAGGCAACTGCATTGCCTCATGTTTGCGAAGCTTTGCCGGAGTTTCACGGTAACTTTGATCAATTGAGCGGAGTTTTTTATCATCAAGGAGCTTTACTATTTTATCACATGCTATTTGTTCTGTCACAATTGGAATATTGGCTTCATGGTAGAATTCTGCAACTTACTGCAGCATAATCTTTGCTGTTATGAACCGAGCCTGTGCGCCAATAGATCCGGGTCGCTCACCTAGTGATGCTGCATTGTAGTGGTACATCATCATTTATTCATAATCACATTAGTTATTGCAATATAGTGTGGGCAAGTAATTATTCATCTTCTTTAAAAAAAATTAATACCAAACAAAAGCAAGCGAGCCGGTTAATTTTGAATGCAGGTAGATATGCATGCGCCGAGCCTTTACTTAAAAAAATTAATGTTTTAAATATTTATAAACTAAACATCTATCAAAATCTGTTATTTATGTTTAAAATTCATAACAATATGCTTCCAACATATTTTTAACCGCATTTTACCTTAATTAATCATAAATACTCTACAAGACATTCCATTGGCAACTTTCTCATCCCTACAACATCCCTTAGAAAAACAGACTTCTCAATTACATGTCGAGGACCACGTTTGTGGAACTATTTCCTTAATAGAGACATGAAAAACATGACTTCAATTGAACTATTTAAAAGAGCAGTTAAACAATACTTATTAGATTTTATCAATAAAAACATTCTTTTATATTTTTAAAAACATTTATATATCGATTTGTTAACACGTATTTATCCATCTTATAACTTATATATTTAATGAGCTGTAATATGTTATAGTATGTACAAAACTTGTAATATGTATAAAACTTATATAACGTATATTTTAGGAACTTATTACGGAAATCTTATTTGATATTTTCACGAACTTAGGAGCAGGGTGATAAGACGCATTGTCTTCTACTTGCTCCTGTCAGAATATAAAGATTTAATTTTTAATTTTTACAAAAATATTGTATAATGATTGTTTATTGACGAAATATATATGTATATATATATATATATATATATATATATATATATATATATATATATATATATATATATATATATATATATATATATATATATATATATATATATATATATATATATATACATATATATATATATATATATAAATATAAATATATATATATATATATATATATATATATATATATATATATATATATATATATATATATATATATATATATATATATATATATATATATATATATATATATATATATGTACCTCAAGACATGCAAGCAGTTGGGCAGCCAGTGATAGATGAATCAGTTTTGCAAATAGCAAGCCCAAAATCAAACAACTCGGTAAATTGGTAAGTCCGCCGTTTCTTCTTAAATACCGAGAGAGTTGTTTCTTGAAAAGTTGATCCAGAGTCATTCGATGAACCAGATTGCAGCAGCATTACTTGCTTGTCCTTGGAAGATGTTGCAGTGGGACTTATTTCTGTCGCCTCAGCCTCCATCTTTTCATCTATACTTCACTCTACAAAATTAAGCATTTATAAATTTACTACATCATATACCATTTTATGCAGTTAGCTTTTTTAATATGCGTTAAACTGAACAATTAAAATGTTATCTGAGTCTAACAAACAATTATGCAGTTGTCGCCAGTTGTAAAAAAATGTGAATACTGAGTTCACTTATGTAAGTAAGTAGGTTTAAGCAAAAATTACAGCAAAAACATTTGATATCTCTGAGCAAACAATATTAGAACCTACCCAAATCTTGTATTGGCAGGCTTTTAACTTGCTTTTTGATTAGTCTAAACTTTCAGAAACTTGCAGACAACATTTATTTATCTAAAAACATCTAAAAACAAATATGGCCAACAAAGAACAACTATTATTTATTCACGCAAATAGAGCCGTAGTAAGTATATTTTAATAAACAAGTAATGGGTGGGAAATGAGTTTTCATGGTCTGTAGTAGAGAAAGTTGTCATAGTCGGGGGGCCTCTAAATATGATGTAATTTCGTTTATTTTTGCACAATAAGTTTATTTCGACCTACAGATATTGTTTCTCTAACATAAAAGTCTTAACTTTTTTACCAATAGTAGTCTATAAGCGTTTTTATATTATTGGAGCTCCTGAATACCAAAAACTAGGAAGAAGTAATCTTTTCGAGACATTCAAATCCAGAGGTTTATCGGGACTCTGCGTCCTTAAATATTTGTACAGCTGTGGCCCAGTGACTAGAGCGCTTGTTTTATAAGCAGGAGATCCAGGTTTGAAACGAGCTTTGGACCTATTTTGCGTCACGGTAAGGAAGGAGGCGTGAACTTCCTGGTTAAATGCACTTTCGCGGTGCTCTATGACAAGACCGTTAGGTCATCTTGGGGCACCTAAATAACAAATTCAAAATTGTGAACTTTCAGCTCTTCCGTCTCAAAATGTTGCCAACCCCTGGCTTATACAATTTGTTATGTGCTTTTTTTGTTATTCTAGACTCTAATAAAAATAATTGGCTTTCGCTGTAAATTTGTATTAGGTCTAATGTTAAAGTGAGGAGAATTTTATTAACTTGAAATATGATTATAAATTAAACGTCTAAACATTTTTGTGAACAGTCTAATCTTTTTTTTAAGAGTAATTCTTTGTATTTTTAAACTGAAATTATGTTTATAAATTAAAAGTTCAGGTGCAACATGGGTGGCCTTTTTAGGTTTATTGTAAATAAGGGGCTGTCCATTAATAACGTTAACAATTTTTTTGAAATTTTTTTACCCACCCCTTTTTGTCAACAATTTGTCGAATTTTCAGAGACCCCCTATAAAATTACGTTAATTTTTTATTACCCCCCTCCCTATACAAAGAAGCCACGATACAAACTCACCCTAATTTTTCGTTATTTAAGCAATAAAACTGAAAAAAAAAAAATGTTGACATCAACTTTAAATGACCTCCACCCCTTCCTCAACACCTCGACAAATGTCAAAAAAGTTCAGACCCCCATCCTCCTATTTTGTTTACGTAATTAATGGACAAACCTTAAGGCGACGCCTCAGAAAAGCTATAGCGCTTTAGCGCCTTAGCGCCTCATCGAACCAATTAAGGCGTGTGGCCATAGCGCAGTGGTAAGAGCGTCTGCTTTATAAGCAGGAGATCCGGGTTCAAAACGAGCTTTGGACATATTTCGCGTTACGGTAAGGAAGGAGGCGTGAACTTCCTGGTTAAATGCACTTCCGTGGTGCTCTGTGACAAAACCGTTAGGTCTTCTTGGGGCACTTAAAAATAATAAAAAAAAAAAAAAAGGCGAACGTTTTATTAATTTGAATGAGGCTACCGCCTTAGTGCGAGAATCCAACGCCTCGCACTGAGGCGTACGCCTCACCGCCTTGAGGGGTAGTTATTTTAAACCATGGTACAGGAAATTCCTTAAATCATACATGTAAAGGAATTGTTAAGCTGACAAAAACTCTATTAAGACAAATGCACATATAAGTTATATTGGGAATTTACAAGGAAATTCTTGTCAATTTCGCGGATTTCTACTTTCTATGAATTTTCAGTCGAGGCCTTTGATAACTCACCAACACAAGAAAAAAATATAAATGTACAATCAAAGGTGTCTCTTTTTATATTTTTAAATATGCGTCTCGAAATGATGATTTTCTTAACGAAAATGAACTTTTGACCAAACAAGTTTGTATGCTTAATATGTTATAATAGCTTTACCTTTTTTTTTTTTCTTTTTTTTTATAATGAATATTCCACGTTTTTATTTGACGAGAATTTTCTTTCGAAGTATCAAATTTTTTGAATAATCAATTTTTGAAAAATAAGTGCAAATATTAAATTATAATTAATGGTCTTAACTTTCCATCAAAACAAACAAAATTTTTTTTATATTTAAACTTTTTTTTCTTCTGTAAAATGTTAATATACATTAGTAAATATTTTCTTTATAAGTTTGTTTGTGTAGCGTAGTGCGTATTGCGACTGTGCAGCGTGTGATTCGAATCACCGCGGAATAAAATCTCAAATAATATTCTACTTGGATTTTTGAAAAAAACTTTTCTTTAGATCATTAACAATTTATCAGAAATGGAAAAAGTAAAAAAAAAAATTGCACTCAAGTAAAAGTACTGTTATTTGAGTGAAATTTTACTCAAGTACAAGTAAAAGTTACCGGTCGAAAATTTTACTCAAGTACAAGTAAAAGTTACCGGTCGAAAAGTTTACTCAAGTACAAGTAAAAGTTACCGGTCGAAAAGTTTACTCAAGTACAAGTAAAAGTTACCGGTCGAAAAGTTTACTCAAGTACAAGTAAAAGTTACCGGTCGAAAAGTTTACTCAAGTACAAGTAAAAGTTACCGGTCGAAAAGTTTACTCAAGTAAAAGTAAAAGTTACCGGTCGAAAAGTTTACTCAAGTAAAAGTAAAAGTTACCGGTCGAAAAGTTTACTCAAGTAAAAGTAAAAAGTAGCTTATTAAAAATGTACTCAGAGTAAAAGTTACTGCGTTACTTTTTCAGTAACAAAGCTGTCAAATCAAAAAACAAAAATTACGTAGTCTATTATTTATTGTATGAATTTTTTTTTTAAATAAAAGATTTTTTTTTACAGTCGTAAAAAGTGAAAAGAAACCAAGCAGTTAAAAGTCGTTATGAGCGCGCTCAACATTTTTTTCTAAACAATTTGAGTGTCATTTTTATTATAGCGAGCAAAACTCAAAAAAACAAAAAAATTAAATCATAGTATTTGTGAAATTAAACAATACATAACTTTTTTACTCAGTAACGCGTATGATTTCAAATATAGCGAAGTACAATACTTAAGAAAAAAAATACTTAAGTACACATTTAAAAAAATACTTAAAATTAGAAATTCACAAATTAACTACTCGATTACAGTAACGTGAGTAAATGTAATAAATTACAGTAACGTGAGTAAATTTTATTCGTTACCTCAGCAATTTATTTTGTCAGAATTAATGATTATAATGATTAATTAATATTAATTTATTTTTGTAAAAGCACAGTGTAAACGTTATGAAGTTGTTAACAAATATATTTCCACTAACTTATAACACTAACATAATTTATTTCAAGTTTTAAAATTAATGAACATTCTTTAGCGTTTTTCTCAGAAACATGTTTCAAAACGTTTCTTCGTAAAGTTTGCTAAAAACTTTGTAAATCCGCCATTTATGAAGATATCAAGTTAATTTTTTTCATCATCTATTCAGATCTAGTTGTAACTTAAAGTTAGTTTTTTTAAGACTTAGTACCTTTTCCTGCGAGGTGCCTCGTACACATAAATTAAAATTGAACTGACTTGTTTATTTGTAAACATGTCTAGTATAAAGGTACTAAATGACAAGGCTAGTTTCAGTTTTCTGCGAGCCCCCTTTAACTACATTTAAATATTTTGCCAATCAACCTTTTTCTCTTTTTTAAAAATTATAAGTTTTGAAAAAATGAAATAAATTAATACAGATTGAAACACCTCACAAGGTGCAAAAATTTACTAATGATATTTGTAAATTATTAATTGAAAGAATATATACAGGGGCGTTTACAGTAAATTTTTTAGGTAAGTCAAAAAAAAACTATGCCCCCTCCGCTTTCTTATTTTTTTAAGGAGATACCGGATTTTGACCAAATTGATTGTATTTTATAAAAATGTTTTAATAATTCTTTAAATGACTTGTAACATTGATAAAATTGTCACTAAAGCTCAAAATATGATTTTTGCAAACTAAAAAAATTATTTTTTGAAAATACTTAGTTGTAATTATGTATAATATATACAGGTTATAATTTTTTAAATACAAGATTTTGCTGTGTAAATTTTTTATATAACTTTATAAATAAATTTTAATTATAAATAAACTTTATAAATACTAGTCAAAAAACTTATTGTAATAACTGTACAATGCTAAATAATGTTTTTACAAAGATATTTGACTATGTAAATAGCTGTTTAACAAAAAGAAACTAGTTTTTTGAAGTTATGCTTTTATTATATTTGAATTTTATTTAAAACACAAATCATAAGTATTTATAACAAACTTGTTAAAAACTTGTTTACTATCAAGACTAAAAGCTAAATTAAACCATTTAGACTTTATCTACCATTTCGCTTTGCAACTTCTACTTACTATACTCTTATAAACCTTTAGGCGCCTCAGTAAAGAAAAGGTTTGTTGCTTGTAATGATTCAGTATTATTAGATTGGGGTTCATTTTTGAAATTCAAGCAGTTAAGTGAAATACAACTAAATTTTCCACATGTCAAACGCACGTAATAAAGCTTTTAGTTTGAAATAATAATATAGCCTTTGGTTAAATAAAAGACACTAAACCTAATTTAGCCTTTGGTTAAATAAAAAAACATTTGACTTGGTCTTCCCAACTAGTATAACAGAACACTGAATTTCTGCAGTTGTTTTTAAAAGAAACTGAATATTGGAAAAAAATTAAGACAAAGGTACTTTACTCTCGAGTCCCTAATACACGGGGGAGGGGGTGGCGGGGACGCTTATTGATTTTTGGAAAAATTTCCCACTCACCTAAAGCTTATTTACAAACTCGCCCCCCCCCCCCCCCATTTATTAATTTTTATTTGCTATTTAAAAAAAAAGGTGAAAATAGGCCTTAAAAATTAGAAAATATTTATTACAGTCACTAAAAAAAAACAAAAAATTTCAGTGTTAACAGGCATTAAAAGTCACTAAAAAAGTAAATCCCCGGATTTATCAAAAATGATTTTTTAGTTTATTTCTCACTAAAGTATAAAACTTATTAAAAGAAAAAATTTATAAAAAATAAAGTTCTATATAACAAAATAAAATAAGGTATGTCAATTCAAGTTTCTAATTAAGTTGTTTAACTTAAAAGTTTAACCTCCATCAAAATATTATTATTATAACTTTTTAATAATCGCAAAATTATGAAACCGATATACTATTATGTTTTCCGGTTTTTAATTTTTTCCCAACCGTTTCAGATAATTAACTATGGATAATTTGTATAGTTTTAGCTTAGTTTAGTTTTAATAGTTACATATGGTAAGACTTTTATCAATGAAATAATCAAGTTGAAAAACTTTTATTTAATTATTTTGGGTACGTCCAACGACGTAGCAGACATCCCCTAAACACGCACCTGATATAGATGAATTTATCGGAGTATTTATATAATTACCTTATTGTATTTTTTTCAATGATATCATTTTATTATTATTTTATCCCATGTCGGATTTGTATTAGACTACTTCTTAGATTTTACTTTGTTCATTTTGGACTTAATGCATATAATATTTTATTAATCAATGAACTTCTATAATACCAGTCGGCAAATTAGAATATTTTTGTACATTTAGTTGGTAAATTAGAACCTTTTAAAGATTCAGCAGGCAGAATGAGACTTATCTATTTATCTATAGTTAGCGAATTGGGGAATTAGAGGAACTTTTTTGTCTTATACTAACCAAAAACCATAGGGCAGCCCTTTCTCTCCCTCCACTTGACACCTACTCACGCCGGCTCTATTAATAAGTTTCTAAACCTCTTAAAAAAGTTTGTTTTTCTAATTTTTTTTTTTAAGTTATTGTTATAAATGACAAAATTAAAAAAATTAATGCGGCTTACATACCTGAGCTAGAACGAGCTTTTGCTAATTTTAATGGAACCATGTAGAAAAATCTACCGATATAAGGTTTTCTGCATGATTTTAGTAATGAGAGTATTTATTATTCTATTAGATCAGTTTCATTATTTATTATCAGAGAATTAGATTCTATAGATAAAAGAATCATGCAGACCAATTTTACGCATGATTCCTGTAAAAAAAAGCTAGAAACAGACCACTCTGTTCTCGCAGTTATCATTTTAAACAAATTTAAACATGGTTCTCTTTTTTTTTAATTTACAATTTGTTATCCTTTTTTGTAAAGAAATTGAAAAAATATCAACAATGCAAGTGTCAATATTGGGAATTATTTACTTTCCGGTACATATGGATGGTTTAGCGCCAAACCAGCCTAATTTACCTCGTACAATGCCTATATTTTGATACAATGAAAGAATGATTCATCTTTCTCTGTACCTACTATGTTCAACTAATTATTCTTTAATGACAAATATAAAACTATTTTTTTGGAGAAATAAAAGGTTGTTCTGAAGCACATTTTATCACTCTTAGACTATTGATGCGTATAGATACATATAATATGTTTTGAGTGGTTGGGGACATTGCGCACAGTCTCTGACGTTCCTGCAAATTGATATCAGAATAAACATAAGAAATTTTTTTTGATGAATAATTTGTAGAATAAATACAATTAAGTTATTGAATCCTGTTTGCATAACAAAGGAATTTGTATAACAATTTATTGTTTTGTGTTTTGTCAGACTATAAATTTAATTTTTTTTTTTTTTTTGTATAACAAATAATCTTATTACAATACTAATGTTAGTAATTTGTTGCAATGAATTATTAGTCATAAAAGACATAGTTTATAAAATAATCATGAACCAACATATTGGCGTATCTAAATCTTCATAACCAACATAAAGGTGTATCCTAGCAACTTAATTTATTTTATAACCAACATAAAGGCGTATCTTAGCATCTCAATGTATTTTATAACCATCATAAAGGCGTATCTTAGTATCTCAATGTATTTTATAAATTAAAAAATAAAATTGTATCTCATATTGCAAAATAAAACGTAACGATGACCTGAATATAATTTGAACAATAAGTGAGCGTCAGACCTATTGTTAATGTTTGAACTAACAAGTTGATGTAAATCAATTGCTGTTAACCCAACCATATGTTTTCTTTAATTTATTTAAATATTTATAATGCTTCTTCAATATTTGTTTTGCAAAACTAAGGCATAATTAAAAAAAAAAAATTGTACAAATAAATAACATTAATATAAATTGTGAAAACAATGGAAACAATAAAATGCTTAATTTAAACAAATAGACGGGGAACGATTTTACAAACAAATAAACGGAGACCGATTTAAAAAACATATTTTTTACAGAAATAAGAAACATCTGCCGTTGTGTTAAAAAGAGAATGAGAAAAAAAAGAAAAAAAAAAAAAAAAATAACGACCTCTTTGACTTGTTTAAAGATTTTTTTTGTTTGATAAAAATAATAATTTATTTGAACGATTTTACCTGCAAATTTATCAAGACAAAATAGTTTGTTTAAAATAACTATTTAAATAATTTGTAGTAATTTGAAAATAGTAATTAGAAATGGATGATTTTGTAGACTTAATTCTCCTTCCTAAAAATCTTACAGATCAATTTTACTCTAGCTGGAGTACTCACTATTTGGAACTATTTCCTGTTATAGCCAAACCAAACAGATCTTTAAGTCGACATCGGCCAATTAGCATACATCTAGAAAGTTTAACAAAAAGTCTTCCTGATATACTTGACTCACAATGTTGTATAGAAGAACCAGTCTCAAGAGTTGGTGATCATATTGACGAGTTTATAAAAAACAACAGACGAGATATATATAGAAGTAGCTCTACAAACGATATCCTAGATGAAAGTTATGAAAATTTACTTTTTGATGAATTAAATAACAATAAAAAAAAGAAAAGATTTTCCTGGTACGGAGTACAAAACTGCATAAATAATGGAAGCCGCTTTATACTTTCACCTTTGCATAGAAAAAAGTATGAAATAACGCAAAACGTAACTAAATATCCGGATTTTAAAAAAGATCTGAAAAGACTTTGAATGTTTATAGATAAAAGTTTTTTGAAGCCATAAAAATGATAAGGAAAGTTTCAAAAATTTATATATTTACAAGGATAAAAAAATCATTTATTTAACTTTACAAAAACTTTCCAATATGCAGCTTTATATGTTTATACAAGCAAAGATTTTGTTTTTTTAAAAAACTATCCAATTTCAATCGGATTAATTACAGTATATTTCAATAAAACATATTTGTTTTAATTTTTATCAAATAGAAAACTTTGAAAAAAAGTTTTGAAAGTTTATCTTTTTAAAAATGAAATTAATCTGTCATTATCATGATCATCATTATAAGAATCATCATGATGATTATCATCACAATCATCTTCATTATCTTCATCATCATCACCATCACCATTATCATCATAACCATTTTCATCATCATCATCTTCATTTTTGAGTTGGAAGTACTCAGATATAAGTTTTGGGAACACAAGGTCCTAGGACCTAGATATGACCTAGTGGTGCATAAACATAAACTTGTTGTACAGTTATGCAAATTTTTAGCAGTAGATATTTAATTTTTTTATTTGTTTTGTTTTGCATAATGTCAATTTTAATTTATATTTTTATTATATTATGTTTTTAAAGAAAAGCATTCACGGCTAGAATGTTTTAAAGAGTTTTAGCAATACAAAAAATAACTTTGGTGCTAAGCTGCAAATGCCGTTATGAATAATATGTCAGTATTCAATTCTCAAAGAAATTGAAGGCAAAAAAACTCTTTCAATCAAAATTTTGTCTCTAATATTTCCGTCTGTCTCTAATATTTCAGTATTTATTTGACCAAATATTGATCATTACAAGCAAATTGGAGATACATTTGATTAAAAAGGGTTTCGTTTTTTCTTAAGCAAGAATCTCTAAAGTTTTAGTTTTACTTTACTTGACCAATGTATTTTACTTTGGGTGTGATTTACTTTGTGGTTTACACTGAAAGTGAGTTTATTGCACTAACATAGCGAGTCGTTCTCAACTTCTTCCTAAAACTTGTATGTATCTGCATGTGGATAAATGCGTACTTTTCCAATACAAAACAACAAGCTTCTAAGAATTTGTAACTTGGCTGATTTCATGTTTTTAGTAAAGTACACTGGAATTCCTTGCTTTTATTGACGATATGCCTTGTAAAATTAGTCATCATTGCAAAATTTTTGCATACAACGCTCAACTTATTTTAATTATCAAATCCCATCTAACTTTCAACGTTCAAAGAAAATGTAACATTCAACTGCTCAGAAGCGACGCAAATTTCAATGTTTAGAGGCAAGCAACTTTCAACTCAATGATTACGCAATATTTAACACTTGGAGACAATTTATTGTATATAAGAGAACATCCTTGAACAAAACTCATTTAAAAACATTCTTGAAAAAAAATAATCAATAAAACTCTTTAAAACAGTATAATAATCATTTTAAATTGTTTTTTACCACAGATAGGTAAAATGATACATATGATTGGTAGTACCAAGAGTATCCTTGAATTTTAGGCAGTCTATTTTGTATCAAAAATTATGTAAAAGGTGAATATAAGTACACAATATATACTAAGAGTTTCAGTTTCTGCTTGTTCATATTCTGTAGCATTCCTGGCGCAATGATTCGATCTACATATAATGCAATTTTACGCAATCTTTAAATCTTTTTCTTAGTGTTCTTCAAAAACAGACATGTTTATAAATTTTTTTGTAAATATTATTAAAACAAACAAACTAACATATATATATATTTATATATATATATATATATATATATATATATACATATATATATATATATATATATATATATATATATATATATATATATATATATATATATATATATATATATATATATATATATATATATATATATATATATATATATATATATATATATATATATATATATATATATATATATATATATATACATATCTATCTATATATATATATATATATACATATATATATATATATATATATATATATATATATATATATATATATATATATATATATATATATATATATATATATATATATAAATATATATATATATATATATATATATATATATATACATATATATATATAAATTCTTAATAATAAAATTTTTCAAGGTACTGTTGTAATACCTATCTCTTATGTATTGAGAGGTATTGTTTTAAGGGTTCCATTATCTTTCTCCAATTTTTTATTTATTAAACTTTATTTATTAAACTTATTATTAAAACATTTATAATAAAACATTTATTAAACTTTAAATTCTCACACTATAACTAATTGTAAAAACGGTAACAAACGGAGATTCAAACCTTTATATGGGAGATCTACGTATTTACGGCCCTATGCATGGGTCCGTTGTTCATGGGATGCAAATCGCTTAAATATTATAAATACAATAACATAAATCAAATAATATTTAGAATAGTTTTATACAAATTAAGTTACTCAATGAATTGGTAGTACCAATTTCAATTTTTTTCAACGTAATTTCATATAAAGTTTAAATAGTAATTTGTTATTCAAAAATATTTTTTATGCATGAAGTAAACTCAAGATTGCCAAAGTAGCAGTAAATGTAGAGCCAACAGATGAATAATTAGTAGCTGTATTAACAGGATCAGCAAGAGATAAAAGTGTTGTCGAAAACCACTAAATGTTAAAGTAGTATCTAGTAAAGATGCTGTAGTAGCAATAGTTGCAGGGCTAGCAAAAGATGTATTTTTAACAATAGAGGTAGTGCTAAGAGAAGCTGGTGAGACAAAAATCTTGCATAAAAAGAAGTAATAGTGCAATTTATTCCTACCTCTTCTAATCTTTCTTTAGTCGTTAAAGAAGCTTTCCTTTTGCACCAGACAATTTCCATATTATGGGCCACTGAAGTAAACCATCAAAAAATTGTTTCGTAACGTTACTAAAATTATTACAAACAGCTTTTTAATGTAGTTTGAAACCAAGAAATGCATAAAAAATGTTTAAATAAAATAAATGTATGTTTCTATTTAATTTGTTTATACTATGGTAAAAAAAATAAAAAAGCAGCTAATAAAGAAATTCAATCAAGTACAAGGTTTGGATATATCTGTGAAATTAGTTCGATAAATGTACTCTGAGATAATTAATAAATAGCAAAAAGACACTCTCAAACTGATAAGTTGAAATTTAAAAATTATAAATAAAAATAATTGATGGACTACTGAAAGAAATAATGGATAATAAAGAAACATGCAAAACTTTACACAATGAAAACAGGTTGAAAAAAATTGAATTCATAAAATTAAATGAACGAGTTTTAACACTTGAACACACTCAAAAACAATCAAAAAGTTATGATCAAATTGAAGAAAAAGTTTTGAGTATTTGTGAAAATAAACTAAATGTTAGTGACGTAGATATTGAAAGGGCAGTTATCGCACATGATCGAAAATATTGGGCAAAGTAAACCTTGATTAACTTATCCAAAAAATCTAATGAACTATAAAGTTAAAATTTACATACTAAACATTTCAAAAAAGTTTAAAGAAATAGAAATATGCACTATTTTTGGAATAGCCTAATCATTAGGAAAAATCTTTTTGGAGAAATGCGAAATAACAGGAGTAACGTTGAAGTTGTTGCTATTTATGATAAAGTTATTTATTAGTTTTAAAAATAACATAAGCACATTTATTTTCTCTTTATATTTTTATGATTTAAATAGTAGCTTTTTGTTATTATTGTTAAAATAACGGAAGCCGACATGTTTTTAATAAATCACACTAAACCTAATTAATGCCTCTGATACAACCTTTTGACGATATTTCTGTAAAAAAAGAATAATTACAATGCTTACTATGTTAAATATTTTCTTAATTTTTTATCATCTTATCTTTCATTATCAAATTTAAATATCAAAAGCGTGTATAAAAACTTTGAAAATATAAAGTTAAATTTTGAGTGAAAATTTAAAGTTGCATAAATAACAAGTTTAGTTTAATATGCCTGATAGAAACCTGGTTTTACATAAATACACCCATTAACCGAGAAAAAATGGTATAGGCAGAGGCATTTCTATTTTTATCCAAAACTCATCTTTAAAAACTCATAAGTTGTTAAAAATGAAATAAAGACTGAGCCAAATGTTTTTTTAAGTAAGGAATTACAAAATGAAATAAAATGTATAAAAATATAAAAGCTATTTTGAAAACTTAAGAAAGTCAAAAACAAATTATATATTTGGAAGTTTAAGAAAACATTATGTGTTATTTAAGAAATATAAAAAAATGTAAAAATTAATAATCTGCCTAACAGAAAGCAAACAGGTGTTGATTAATGAGATATGTGAAAAAATACCTAAATATTTTTTAATTAAAAAAGAAACAAAACAGTGAAGTTCCTGTTAGAAGCAAAACATTTGAATCTTTTTTGAAAAGATCATATTCTTCGATGGACGAATCGGAGCTTTAACTTCGGTTAGCGTTTAGTAAAAACAAATGAGTGCAGTCTGGATGAAATCAATCCTGTTGTTATAAAAACGTTTTCTAATATAATTGAGAACCCTAATTTATATTTATATCTTGACTAAAAGACGGCAACTTTTCTGATTAATAAAGTATCGAAAATAATTCCAATACAAAAAAGTGGCTGCGACTCAATAAAATCAAACTACAGACCGATATCCATATTTTCCTGCTTTTCCAAAATATATGAACCAAATATGTATAACAGACTGCATAATTGTTTTAAAAAGGTGGGAAATGAGCTAGTGAATAGGTAATAAAAAGCTTGGTTCATAGCAATCTTTAAACAACTTTTTTAAAATCACAACATTTTTTTATTTTGTCTTTTACCTTTTAAAAATATCAATTTTTATTAATTGATCTAATATATTTATGAAAATAATTAAACTAATAACATTACAAGTTTATTACGACATGTCGCTATTTAGATATTGCGGTGTTGTAGCTTTCGACATTACTACCTTATATTGTAAGTATTATAATATATCATATATATTTATGACAGGATGACAGGTTTTACGGGGCCTCGGACCAAATATCCACGATACTGGTTGCAGATGTTTAACTAATTGCAACATAACGACAAATCTAAAGCTATTCGTAGGCTAGATATAGTAGCTTTTTGGCTTGCTAATATATAATCAAGGAGGTATAATTGACTAGCTGGAGAAAGAACGAAGCCGAAATTTGTTTAAAATTGTGCTACAATCTTAATAATATAATTATTTCGACGGCAAGACAAAATGGCGCCTTTGCGTTGAAAAATGAAATCTGTTACCTATTAAAAACTGTTTAGAGAGTAATCAAAGTCAATTACTCTCTTAAAAGTTGACAGGATAGGTTTTTAACAATTGTTTGAACAATTAAGAAGTAATCACAACAAAAATCACGATCTACGTAAAGTAATCTTTTTTTGAATACCTCAATACAAGGTATGTTTGAATATTTCGATACCAGATATGTTTGAATATCTCGATACTAGGTATAAATATCAAAGTTTTCGACAATTTCTACTACTTGTTTGAACCTTATCTTTTTCTTCCCCGTTTAGCTATAAGTTTGTTACATTCTTAAAGAACGTTTTTTCGGCAAGGAACTTATCATATCTCTCCAGGATTTTATTTTGTAGTATTTTCAATCGATTTTAAAAAAAAAATTGAATAAATACAACCAGGTTTTATCTAGACTTTTTTATCTAGATTTAACTCTAAATGTTATTCACAAATTTTTCTAAAATTGCTTAGGGGTTATCCATAAGTTACGTCACGCTCTATTAAAGGAGGGGAAGGGGGTAAGTGGTTTTTCGACGACTCATACAAAACTTGCTACTAAAGTGTTACGATTTTGTGAGCTGAGTGAGGGGTTTCAAAAATGGTCAAAAATTGCGTGACATAACTTATGGACGACCTTATGATGATAGGATTTTTCTAAATTTGCTTATAACGTTTTGAAACAATATCATTAGAAATTATTTTTTAATGTAAAATGTAATTGGTTAACTTTAAATTATGATAATTTAGCAGTATTTAATTGAAAATTGTTATTTGAAAATTGATGTATTTTGACTTTGTTCTCACTCCAGCTATATTATAACTCTTTTATATGACTATCAATTCATAGGTAGTCGATATGGCTAGCTAAAGTCCTGTAATTTGTATACACTTTACAACTTATTAGTTAAAAGTATTCTTATTATATTATATATATATTAATATATTATACTATTGTAGCTAACTATACCGGGTTTTGCATTCATTTAAACAAATATGACATTCATTTAGAACAACCATGACATTCATTTAAAACGATCATGACATTCATTTAAAACAACCATGATAACCAATTAAAACAATCGTGATTTCCATTTAAAACATTTAACGCATGCGCAATCTTATCATTTTATATCTTTCAAAAAATATGTTTTTATATATTTGTTTATTTAATATTATATAAATTTATTTTATTAATGCTATATTAGTTTATTTTAACTTAATGGAATTTGTTTTGATTTTAAATGGATGCAAAGTTTTGCATCCACTTTTATTGTTTATATATATTTGTCATTAATAATATAAATTTGTACAACATTTTACCGTAAAATATACCTAGATAACATATACACGTTGGACCGACGTCGGCACAACGTAGGCTTTTACAGCGGCCGATGGTAGTTTAACTACGTTGGACCAACGTAGTTTTTACTCATCAGAATGATGTAGGCCCGATGTCGTTGGGCCGATATCAGTAAAGTCAGACCAGCCGTGGCGCAGTGGTAACGCACTTACCTCAGGAACCAAGGATCTTTGGTTCAAACCCTACCTCTGGGCAAGTTCTGCGACATCGGTTAGGAAGGAGGCGTGAACTTCCAATTAAATGCTCATCTGCGGTGCTCTGTGATAAGACCGTAAGGATTTCTTGGGGCACCTAAAAAAAAAAAAAAAGTAAAACGACGTTGCATTAGCCCGCTTTAATTTTGATTAATAAATGAGATTACAAAAGCGACTATTATTCATAGCGATTACAAAATAGAATGGGAAATCATAAAAAAATACATAATAAAACGACAAAAAAATTATTTGTTTTTCTATTATTATCTTAACTTTTTTTTATACAATTTAAATAATAAAAATATAAAAAATAGTTAACAGTATAGTAACAAATATTTCACCAACTTTCGAAGTATGTCTGTATACAGTTCGCCGATTATAAAGTAAATTTAATGTTATTAGTTATAACTAGGGTATTTCTGCATCGCAGGACATTTGTCATCTTTATGCATCTTCATTGTTTAATGAAGCATTGTTCTTAATCAGTATATATATTACTCTAAAAAGCGAGTAATTATGAAACTCACATTTTTTACATTTTTTATTTCATAAAAAATGAAAAAATGTGAGTTTCATTATTACCATTGACAACTTTTTTTTACCATAAGGTCTGAAAAGGCATGTTTTTCCCTATGTTCCATGAAATTTAATTCACCAGCTAAAACATCAAAGCTGTTAATATTCTCCTTGTCATATCTTTAATGTTGGCACCACCAATGACACCCCGATAACTAACCTAAATAAATAAATTTACTTTGAACAACATTTACAAATTTTATAAATGTATATATATATATATATATATATATATATATATATATATATATATATATATATATATATATATATATATATATATATATATATATATATATATATATATATATATATATATATATATATATATATATATATACATATATATATATATATATATATATATATATATATATATATATATATATATATATATATATATATATATATATATATATATATATATATATATATACATATATATCAGGCCTTGCGACAAATAAGAACTGCGCGACGCATAAGCACGACGCGATTTTTGACGTCATTAAATTCTTTTTATTTGCTTTTCATATTTATCGACATTAACTGCACCAATTTATTTAATTACCGCAAAACTACTTTAAATCGTTTATGTAGAAATGTTATTATTTAAAAATGTTTTGGAATGTTTCGTTTTTTAAAATGTAAAAACATTTGTTTATTTTCTCGACGTTTGTCACGTTTTGTCTATACTAAACGAATAAAAAACATTATAACTTAAATTTAAAAAAGATTATAAAATATGCTAATATTTGATTTTTTTTTTCTTAAATATGTAATTTAAAGTTTTTCAAATAATTATTTTTTCTTTATAAAAAGTCAGGGAGTAATAAACTGGAAATTTTAATATTGTACGATTAAAAACTGTGCAATAGCTAATATTTTTACAAGCGATTTTATATAATATTTATTTATTTTTATTTATTTTCATAAAGCGGTTGATAAGCACAATCACTCGTATTAATAAAAAACTTAAACGAACGTTTTGAATAGATTTTTAATGTTAACAAGGAATTTTATTTCTATTAAAATAAAATAAAATGTTAGAAAATCTTATAGGTATAAAAGAAATATTTCAGCGAAAAAATTATTCTTAAAAATTATTCTTAAAAATTATTCGAAAAACTATTGACGTTCTATTTTTCAGCAGCTGTTCTTGAGCACGCTTCGATGAGTTTCGGTAACTTTTAACATAAAAGCGATCGTTATTATTTAAGTAATTTTTTTGAGTTACTTTTTACAAAAATTTTAATAACTGTACTTTTTTATTGAATCAAGTAGAATACGTTTTGATATTAATCTTTTTTTTTTTTTTATTTGCCCTCACCAATTTTTAAAATGTTTCCTCGAAATCACTCTTAAATACTTTAAATACGTCTAACAGTTAGTAAATATTTTTAAATCTATGGAATAATTTTAAAACCTATCAAACCCCTGTAAAATAATTATTTAAGTTTAAAATCTAAAACTAAAAGAAAGTATTTTTGTTCAATTTTATCGACAACGTTGCTATTGCTAAATAATTTTATTAAAATGTTAGCTTAAAAGATTTAAACTTTTTTTTTAATTTTTGAATTTTTTCTACTTCCAAATAATGAGCATATTTAATTTTTTTAAATTCAAACTTTTATTTCAACTGCGTGCGGTTTTTAAAATACTTTATTAAACGTTAAAATAATCGTAAATTACTTCATTAAAATTCCGCTCAAAAATATCTTTAAATATACTCAAACAAAAATTTTTTTGCTCGACGCAAATAGCCCTAGCTACACGCAAAATCGCCCTTGGACGACGTAAAATTCACATCGCCCGACGCTTTATCGCAAGGCCTGATATATATATATATATATATATATATATATATATATATATATATATATATATATATATATATATATATATATATATATATATATATATATATATATATATATATATATATATATATATATATATATATATATTTAATTTAAAAAACCATGTTTAATAAAACTTTAATTAAACATCGCCTGTTTATCCGGATTTCGGCCTCATGCGGATTTTGCTTACCAAAAAAACAAACAGAAAAACCGAAATTAGGTACCTAAAGTGCAACACTATTTAGACTAATTGCTTGTAATTATTTTTCGTTGAAATTTGGCAAATTCATAGAAAACGCATGAAACAAACTATTTAAATAATAAAAAAAGCTGACTCAACATTTCTTCGACCACAAATTTATATGAGAACATCAACATAATATTCAGGAGCAAAACATCTCATAAAAAAGTTAGGAGCCATACTTAAAAAATTTAAAAAAATCAAGATTAGCTTTTGTTCTTTCTAAAAATGTGTATCTATGTGTATATATGTTTCTAGAAAGAAACTCCACAAAACTACGTCTGCCTCACGTCTGTAAAATAAATTGTATAAAAAACATTTCAAGAAACTTACGATTTGTTTGTGTTGACTATTGTAACTAAAATAAATCTTTCGTCCACTTCTTCGCATGATACAAACTGTTTCGCTTCTCGTAAAACCACTTCTTCGCGTGATACAACCTGTTTTAATGATATTAAACCACTTTTTCTCGTGATGCAAACTGTTTCAATATATTAATACTTTTATCACTAACTTTCATAACAAACAGTTTTTTTTCAAAAGTACGCGATATTTAAGCAAATTACCATAACGTCGTTAAAAAAAGGAAAAGACCTATAATATTTAACTAACTGTTTTGTAAATCAAGCAAAAGATTTTTAACAAATACAAGCAAAATCATTGAGCGTGAACTTCCATATCTAATACTTGCAATGCTTAAACATAATAAAAAATGTAATAAAAACAACGCAACAAAAAACAAAACAACGTAAAAAAATAGTTCATTTCCATTTTATACTTATAATGCTTAAAGCGTAAAATAAAGTTTTTTAAAAAAAAAGTAAAAAAACGTAAAAAAAAAAAACAACTACGAAAAAGTATATGTAAACGTAATAAAAACGTAATAAAAAAAAATTTAATGAATTTTGATCAAAAGTTTGCCAAGAATTTTTCTTTTACAGTTTTGACTAAAAATGCAGACCGTAAGTAGCATTTTTTTACTAACTATTTACTCTTACCATAAATACTATATTTAAATATTTTAATTGTGTACATTATTTATTAAGTATAGAAGTAAGTTTTTGCAACAAAAAATAAAATTAATAATAAAAAAAAACTTAACTAAAAATAATTGGATAATATTAAGTTAATTAATTTAAACAACGGAACAATAACTGTTCAGTAGTTTAAAAATTAACACGAGAAAACACACGTTGGCCCGACGTCGGGCCGACGTGTTATATTTGGCTAGAAAAATTATTACGGCATAACTATGTTTTAAATGTGCTTTGTGGTTTTCTGTACTTTGTTTACTCAATTATTGAGTAAGCTAAGCGCAGAAAACCACAACGCACATTTAAAACATTGCATTTCCTACTTTATGCCGACGTAATTTTTCTAGGTGATATAAAACACGTTGGCCTGACGTCGGGCCAACGTGTTCATGTTATCTGGGATATGACTGGAGCAAGTAGAAGACAATAGTCTTATCATCTTGCCCCATTTTTGTCGTTGACAAAGCATAACAAAATATAAACCAAATAGAAATATAATAAAATATTTATAATGCTTATGATTTTTTTTTTTTAAATCACTTTTATAAATCGGTATATCTTATATCAGGTTTTGGATTCATTTATAAAAAATATGGCATCCATTCAAAAATAAAATAGATTAATATAATATTAATAAAAATAAAATAACATATAAGTAATATTATTAATATAGCAATATAATAAATAAAACCTTTTTCTTTGAATAATATCGAAGTTGAGGTTCTAATTAAAACATTTGCGCGTGCGTTAAATGTTTTAATTGGAATTGCGCATGCGTTTGAATATAAGATATAGAGGATATAAGTAATAGAAGATTGCGCATACACTGAACGTTTTGATAGGAAATCACGATTATTTTAAATGATTGTCACAATGTTTTTAATGAACATCGTGGTTGTTTTAAATGAATATCATGGTTGTTTTAAATGGATGCCATATTTGTTTTAAATGAAAGCAAAATCCGATAACATTACGACAAGTTTTTATCTAATCGATAAAACTACTAAACTACTTTAAAAAACAGATATTTCTACTGAAAATACTTTGGGTCGTATAAATAGAAATCTGGCGTTACACTAACGCGCGTGATGTCAAATTGTTTTACGAAGCCGTGTATAACTATAGCAAGTAAATTAGTTCCAAAAAAATTAAAGTTTCAAAAGTTCCCTGCTCTTTTTCCCATTATTTTTATAATCATCAAACAAAACAATAACTTTTTTTATTTTTATACTTTAGATTAGCCTTGTCAAAAGTACAAAAGTTTCAAAAATTTTACTGGTTTCTAAATTATTCAAGTAATCAATTACAAGCATTATATAGAAGTCCTGGAATGGTTTCTTGAAGGTTTGCAGTTCATAAAATTAAAATACTTACTCATACTACAAACAACAAAAGATGTGCACTGCACCAATAAGCTAAAACTAGGCCAAAAAATTTCGCAAAATTATCTTCTTGAAATTTTAGAAAACTTGTCGATGCTTTTCATTTGTTTGCAATATGTATTATCTCTGTGTTTTGTCCTTTGCAATTGTTCCAGTAAAGTCTGTGACGAGCTTGACTACTCTCTCAGCCATTTCATTAACCACTCACAATTGTAAAAAAATATGGCAGCTTCATGATATGCTGCATCAGTCACCCATTGTGTCGATGGCAAATTCATTCAACTGTTTTTGGCAAGAACCAGAACAGCTGCCAATAATTTGCGCCAATCAAGGATAAAATCTGTATTGATAAAGAGTTCGAGCTGTGGAAATATTGGCACTAACTTTTGAAAACTGCCAGTGTCCTCGTTTTCATGCTTTAAAAGTTGCTAAATTTACTTTGGAGTCTAACAAAATTGAGGAGAAAAGCGCAAACGGTGCTATTTGCTCAGTGAGATATTACATATGTCTACATGCTAAACAGGTATTATGTCTGTCATAGTCGCTTGTACCACGGTTGGATCAATATTTTATACGAAATCAGATCATTTAACAACAGATCATTCACTGATGCATCTACTTCCGAAAGTAATGAAAGCCATAAATTTTCTCTCACAAGTATTAGTATCAACTCGGCACTTTCTCAATAGTCGTCACAAGCATTGCATCTTCTGGTTTATACACAGACAGATCAAGAGATGCATCATTAGATTTATACGCAGACAGCAGTTCACGAAAAAAGGTAACTACTTCTTGCTGACCTTTCAGTCTATGGTTACAAATACCAAGTTTTTTGTATAACAATTGCTAAGCGAGTGAGTCTGAATGCTGAATGAAAATCCAAACAATTAGGTGTATCTGGGCTGGATGTTGCCCAAATAATCACTGCCAAACTGCACGCAAAATTATTTCTATTACATGGTGTCAACATCTTTGACAAATAAAATACTTTTGTGCCAAGTAATGTTTTTAACTTGACACATACCCAATTTTTCCTACCGTAGTTAGAAGCAGTTGTGTCAAAAACTAGACCAACATTGGCGGCTTTAACACTTCACTCCTGTATCACAGTATGGCTGACAATTTCCTGGGTTGTTTTAGTGTCATCAGCTCGGCAAGACCACCAATTAGTTTCCAATCTCTGTGGCTGGTAGTCCTGCAATGAGAACCACAAGTCTCTTATTGTCTTCCGGTACAATTTTTCTGTCCCAGTGAAGTGTGGCGTAATTCGATGGAATAAACAATGCTTTTATATTAAGAGCTGTTTCTATTCGAATTTCCTTTTCTGATCTTCTGATACTTGACTTCGACAGTGTCACAATTTTTAAAATCAGCGCCACCCTCTAATATAACTGCAGCCGACAATGCTGCTTTCTGACCAGCTAAAAAATTCAACATATCGGCTATAGTAGATATTTTTGCACTCTTAAACAGGTTTTTTGGAAGCTGAAGTGTTATCATGTCTTTTTTTTTTTGCCGCACTTTTCAAACTCTTTTCTTTTAAATGACATTCAAAATTCTCGTTTTCTTGTAAATCAACAGTATTTCAGTACTTTCATTTCTTGATTGTTCACCTGAGGATTCACCAATCTTTAAAAACAGGTTTTGTTTGCTTTGCTTTTAATCCATTTTCTACCCCAAATAGACCTTAGTTATCTTCATTTTATGCTCTACTATTCTTGTGCAGATCTTTTCTTCTGCACACAAACACACTTTTTTTTTAGCTTACAGAGCACTCAGGAAATCAAGATCTTCGTTCTTTATTTTTTTGGTACAAAGTCTGTCGGTTTCTATTTCCGCCTGGGCATCTTAGCGTGCTATAAGAAAGTATTGTTGTAACTCCTAACTACAAAAATTTTTTTCTTTGTTAACTTGCACCTTTTCTTGCTTTCTTTTTTGCTGCTGAACTTCAATAACAGCACATGAATTAATAAGTAGTATGCAATGCATACTTGTGCCACCTAATTGCTAGTTCTTCTAGCTAGCAACCCTCGTTGCTAAATTGCTACCTTTATAGTTACGAATTATAGCTAGCTAATTAATGATTAATTTTGCAAGCGATCCTTGTGACGAAATTATCTTATTTGTTAGAAACATCGCTGGCTGATTTACCACCGAATAGTTTGGTTTTTAAAAAATTGATGCCGCAAATCATGTAATAATTGATCTTGCCAACCAAGTTTTTGATGGTTTTGAAAACAGCAATACACTGGATATTTTTTAGATCTCTCTAAGGCATTTGGGACTGTCATTTACAAAATTTCAATCTAAAATCTACGCGGTTAAGGAGTTGTTTACTCAAAATTAAAATATCTGCAATGTTATTTAAAAAAATGCAAACAAGGAGTTTTTTATGGTTTAACATTCACATGATGTGAAACAACAAGTTGCGGTGTTGCACAGGGATCAATACTTGGACCTTTGATATTCTTATTTAATGTGAATGATATTTGTTTTCAAAAATACTTTATATTATTTTTGCAGATGACACTAATGTTTTCTTTGCTGATTCAAGTTTTAATTTTTTTTTATTATGCAAACGCAGAGTTAATATATATTAATAAGTGGTTTATAGCAAATATACTTTTATTGAATATTGACAATACGAAATATGTTTTGTTTATTAAACCGTCTAATTTCGAGAACCTTCCACTAAAACTAATAGTTTTGAAAATTCTTGGAATGATTTTTGACGTACATGTAATTTCTCAAAGTCGTATAAAGTTTGTTGAGAATAAAGTTTAAAATACTCTGTAGATTATGTACAAGACAAAACATCTTTTAAATAAAAAATGTTTAAAAAATTTATACAGTAGAATCCCGTTAACGCAGACTCTGGAGAGGTATATATATTATGTATATATTCATAAAGAAGACAAACTTTTTAATTTGTAAAACCATTTTATTAATAAAAACAATACATGTTTTGACTAACACTAGTCATCTAAGAGGTGTGTTTTGTCATTCGCCAAGTTGGGAGCTAAAAATCTTTTTTAGTTGAATCAGACATTTTCCCCAAAAACGGCAGTTTAAAATAAGACAAAGATTCTTTGATTTTTAGTTGTGGTGGAGGATTTGAATTAATCTTGAGTTATATATTTTTAAAAATAACGCACATCTTTTTCTTAGATATAGAAATAAT